CACCATGATGATCGTGGCTGCAGGAGAGAGGAAGAGCAGGAGCTAATCACTGACAGAGGATACAGCAGCCAGAGCTGAACCTGACTGGGGACCATTAGGAGAATAGGCACAGTGACAAGAAAAGGAAAGATGCAGTCACTCGGAGGAAGGAAAACAGAGTTGGCGATGATCTGGGATAGGGGGATCCAAGAGGCAGAAAAGAAGCTCACTGCTTCAAAGAATTGGAGGAAAGAGAGGTGCAGTAGCTGGTTGTGTGCTATTTGGAGTAAAGACAGATGGATACCTAGGAGGCAGTGGGAGCTTATCATAGCTAAACCAAAGTGGTTGCTGATAACAGATTACTGGAAGAATGGAAGGCAGGAGATGAAGGCGGAGTAGTAGCCGACTGTAGGATTAAGTGGTAGAATTGAAATCTTTTGCTGCAGAGGCTGTGGAGAAGGACAAAATGGGAAAAGGTTATAAGATTTTGACTAAAACCAGCCATACTTGGATTGAAATTTGGCAGGTTCAGCAGGGACTGGACCAATTTTGATGCATGTATTGGCAGGGAGGTTGTACAGAAGTTGATCTACCTATCGACTTCTGTACAACCACCATGTTAGATGTGAGGTTTTTTTCATTCAGCCCACTGGGTTGAGTAGTGTGTACCAGGCTTAAGGGTGGTACAGTAACTGATTGTGGGTTGGGCAGCACAGGGGAGTGATCAAGGTTAAGGGAGGTAGTGCAGGAGCTGACAGTTGCAGGGAGAAAAAAAGCAGCGGTATAAAAGAAAAATCATAGTAGGCAGAGTGTGGGTTTGGGGTGGAGAGGGGGGGGGGGGGCATTTATTGGTATCTGCTTGTTTAGGTGGGGAAGGGACATAGCAGCATACCAGATGGGCAGTGCTGCCAGTAGATTCTATACTTATAATACAAGTGTGCACAATATTGAAATGTTACAAAAAAAAGGATCAGAAAAACATATGCAATAGCTTAGATATGAAAATAAATAGTATTATTTAATTTAACAAAGAGCAGTGACAATGCACTTCATTCACAGAAGCAGATAGCATGCGGTATTTAGGTGTCCAGACACATTTTGCCTAAATATCGAATGTGATCCTGAAATGGTCAATTCACTATATTGTTTTGTAGTATTCACCACAAAACACTCAGTAAATACCGAATGAAAGGCGTTAAAATCAATGCACAGAAGGAAATAAATATTTAAATGCATGAGGTAATGGTAGTGGTCCAGGCATGTAGTATTTAAGAAATGTAGAAATATAATAATAGGCAATTTTGAGTAGTTTCTGCCTTTTTGGATCAGTTCTCTCAACAGTAATGCATAGAAACCTAAATATGGAAATTATTGGGGTTGATTTACTAAAGGAAAACCTTTTTTTTTAGTTTTGGATAGAGTGGAGGTGGATTAGAACACCTGTCAGGTTTTTACTGTTGTCTGTGCCCCATCTTCCAAAAAAAAAAAAAAAAAAAAGCTGATAGGGGTTATAACTCCTCCCTTACTCTATCCAAAAAATGTTTTGCCTATAGGTCTACTTCAAGGCAATTTGCAAGTTACTCCAGAGCTTAGTACATGCAATCACATGCAAGGAAAAAGAAAAAAATTTTTCCTCGCACATGATTGGATGATGAATGTCAGCAGAGCTTCCTCTAATTTACTAAGCTTTGGAGCAAGTTCACTTGCAAAGTGCTCACTCTATGTGCCTTTAGTAAATCCACCCCATTATATGTAGTAAACTTTACTTATTTTCTCATTAGATTTTCAGAGACATTTTACGTGTATATACCAGCACATACATCATTTGCTGCAAAAAAAGCTCCCAATCACTCCAAACATTATACAATGTTCATGCATATCACAATGGTCGAATCCCTTGTTAGAACATACAGTTGTGTTCACAATAATAACAGTCAGACATCACTAACCTGATCAATCACTGTTTTTGGTAGAAATGATATTTCTACATGGCAAATAATTTACTAGCAGGTGTAGTAGAGTAATAGAAATCCAACAGACCCAACAGTCATGACATGCATGCTGCTGATTCTGTTTAATTGAATCACTAATTGAAAGTGGCATGTTCAAAATAATAGCAGTGTGGAGTTCTATTAGTGAGGTCATTCATTCTTTGAAAAACAGGTGACAATTATTGCCCTTATTTAAGGAAGGAAGGAAGGCAGCAAATGTTGTACATGCTGGTTACAGTGCAATTCTGAGGAAAATGGGTCGTTCCAGACATTGTTCAGAAGAACAGCGTACCTTGATTAAAAAGTTGATTGGAGAGGGGAAAACATATAAAGAAGTGCAGAAAATGATAGGCTGCTCAGCTAAAATGATTGCAAATGCTTTACAATGGCAACCAAAACCTGAAAGACGTGGAAGAAAGCGAAAAACGACCATTCGAATGGATAGAAGAATAGCCAACATGGCAAGGACTCGCCAACAATCGGCTCCAGGAAGATCAAAGAAGGTCTAAAGTTACCTGTGAGTACTGTTACAATTAGAAGACGCCCTATGTGAAGCCAAGTTATCTGCAAGAAGCCCCCGCAAAGTCCCACTGTTGGAAAAATGATGTGCTGAAGAGGTTACAATTTGCCAAAGAGCACATTGACTGGCCTAAAGAGAAATGGTGCAACATTTTGTGGACTGATGAAAGTAAGATTGTTCTTTTTGGGTCTAGTGGCTGGAGACAGTTTGTCAGACGACCCCCAAACACTGAATTCAAGCCACAGTACACTGTGAAGACAGTGAAGCATGGTTGTGCAAGCATCATGATATGAGGATGTTTCTCATACTACGGTGTTGGGCCTATTTATCGCATACCAGGGATCATGGATCAGTTTGAATACATCAGAAAACTTGAAGAGGTCATGCTGCCTTATGCTGAAGAGGAAATGCCCTTGAAATGGGTGTTCCAACAAGACAACGACCCCAAACACACCAGTTATTGTGCAATATCTTGGTTCCAGACCAACAAGATTGACATTATGGAGCGCCCAGCCCAATCCCCGGATCTTAATCCAATAGAAAACTTGTGGGGTGACATCAAAAATGCAGTTTCTGAGGCAAAACCAAGAAATAGAGAAGAACTGTGGAATGTAGTCCAATCATCCTGCGCTGGAATACCTGTTCACAGGTGCCAGAAGTTGGTTGACTCCATGCAACACAGATGTACAGCAGTTCTCAGAAACAGTGCTTATACAACTAAATATTAAGTGATTCAAAGGAAAGCAAAATCTTCAAACATGTTTCAGTTTATATAGTGAATGTTTGAGTTTGTAAAGAGAATACAAACACTGCTATTTTTTTGAACAGTCTAATATTCACTTTTCTTCAATTTTTGTAGAGGAACAACACAATTTGATCTATTTTTCTTCATGTTTTGATTTGGAATAGAATGTGTAGTGTTCCCAATGCATTTGTGTGTATGGAAATAAAAGCTATTAGAAGGATTTTGAGCTTTATTCACTTTTTTCAACACACTGCTATTATTTTGAACACAATTGTATGTCAAGTGTAGTGGAGATACTTTACTTTTTTCACAATTATTTTTAGAGATATTTTCCCACTGACAAGTTCCCACTGCCATCATTGATCTTTTCAGATATCTATAAGGGGGTAAGTCTTCCCATGAGTTGTATATACAGTATAGTAATTTTTAGCAGGGGTTTCCTGAGACTGGAAAGGTATTCCAAGGGTTCCTCTGTGTTGATAAAGTTGAGAAAGGCTGCTTGAAAGTGTAACTAAAAGCAAAACTTTCATTTTCTTTCTGGATGGCGTAATGGGAGGGTTAAACCTCTGTAATGTTTTTATAATATGGGCAGAAACCTATAGCAACTAGTGAGATTTTAGTTTCCTACAACATACAGTATAACCGGATTAGTAAAATATGAATTCTGATTGACTGCTACAGTTTTCATATTGCAATGAGTCTGATGACAGGTAACTCCTTAACGTTTAAAGGAAAAGTATGTAAACATTACAGAAGCACAAACGCCTATTAAGAACGATTCTCTTTATTTTACAGAAATTGCATAGAACTTTAGTTTTCATCAAAAAATATCCTTATAGTTCTTTCATATACAGCGTTATATGGACTCCTGGAAAAAGACAATTTTTACAATATGGGATAGATTTACTAAAACATAATTTATGAATCCTATAAATTTAGTTCATAGTATGACTAAAGAAAAACAAACACCAAGAATGACCTCACTCAATCAGTACAGTGCCCATCTTTCCAAAGGGAACACTTCAAGAGCACCTGATTTACTGTAATGTTGACACATGGTAATGAGACCTTGCAGCACATGAGAACAATTGTCACTTTTCATAAATGATGATGTGGTAAATCTATCCATCTCAATTACACTATGGCAAAGCTATATATTTACATAACCATCTTCAGCGTTTAGATGTCAGAACATTATTTTTGGAGCTGTTTGTGTGGCCAGGATGTATTGTTCATAATTAGGAATTTAATTTTTCCGTACAAAACATGAATTCTGGAATTCTGACATAACACAGCCTTCAAAAGACACACAGAAAACCATTTAATCTCAACCAAGAAACACATCAAAACTGTCTCTAATTCATTTATGGAGGACAACCTAATTCTTACCAGGACCATATTATGATTTTTGACAAAATGTTCTCTTTATTATTACAAACATTGCAGGTGTTGAAATAATAAACGCTCAGAAGCATGAACGACTTTGAAGGAAGACAATGTTCCTCACAATCCAAGGAAACAATACAACAGTCCACTACTAAATTGGGTAACAACATACCAGTTTTTGTGATGCCAAAGATTGTGATGCCAGCTGAAAATACGCAGACCCATTGTGGGAGATTTTGTTTATAATGTGGGTAATCCAGTACCAGGATTTTACTCTTCTTTAAAAAAAATAGTTTTAGAATTATATGGTCTTAAAAAAAAGACAAAAATAAAACAGCACTGGATGTTTTTGTTTCCTACATTATCTGTCATGGCTCTTTTACTCTGGCTCACTGCTATTTGTAGTCTTTTCCCACAAACTCTCTTCACTTTGTGCTGGAGATCCACCAGTTGGGCGTGTTCTGAGACCCTGAAAACGGCGACACTCCGGGCAGACTCGAATATGTGTACATTCTCTGGCAACTAGAGCTGCTTCTTGTGCCAGTCTCTGTGCCAGCGGGTCGGGGCCACTGCCCCCACACAGTTTACCATTGCTTAGAATGCTAGTATTGCGTCCTCTTTTATCCTCCGGAACAGCTGATCTGGAGCGTATAATGCCTGCCCGTCTTCGACGTGGCAGAAAACTGTCTTTGCAAAGTATAATGCTACTTAACTCTGACATCATTTCTTGACAAACAGAAACCTGCAACAACACAGAAAGCAAAACATTTTAATAAATAATGTTTTATTTCTTGATATTTCGTGTTTGGGGTGCAAATATGCATAGTTTTTTTCACAATTCGAAATCTTGATTTTCATGTGACAATGCAGAATGAAACACACTGAAACTTCAGGGAAAATTAAAAAGCCTTTGCTTTTTTAACAAGGGAGGAATTAAAAAATGAATTTTTCTCTCTGTCTAACAGAGGTAATACCAACTCAAAAAGTCTTATATACATATACTGTATGTAAAAGAACAATTATACCTAATCATTTTGTCATATTGTGCCTTCATTAAATGTTGCCTCTCCTTGCGTATCGCATTTACTTTCAATGACATACAGCATATAAAAATGTAGTCTGAACAACAGATATGCAAGTAGATGGTATGATCTTACCTGAGTATCTTCAGAATTTCTTATTGTCCACAGGAACTCCAGCATGGCCATGAAGATAGCCACTATTAATCCACAGATTAACACAACAAATATGCCTCCAATGTTTTCCATGCCCAAACCTGAGAAAATGAGAAAAGTACAGCAACATTTGATTACTGTACATTTCACAAACCATCATATGTTGTATGTTTGTTTTAGACTCTGCTTTGTTGGGTTTGCACATGAGCGTGAACATGTCATGTTCATGATAACAAACATTGTGTGCTGTCTGCACTGCACTGCTCCCATAAAGCTTTAACTCTAACTTAAAGCTACTATAATGTTTATATAGACAATACAAGATAGCAGGAATATAGCCATCTTTATATAGAAATGGATTTTCCACTACCTCAAATTATCTGTATACCTCTTACAGAAGCCTAGGCCTGCACCCCACTCAAGTGGCTTCTGTCTCCCTCAATAAGTCAGTGGGCTGCAGAAAATCATGCATACATGGCTGCTTCTCTATAGGACCATGTGGAGAAGCTATCTACTAGCAAGCTTTCTATAGAGAATATCCTGAGCATGTGTCCTGCACTGTGGCCAACTGTAGGCTTCAACTACTGCAAAGGTTGCCAACTCATCTGAAGCACGTAGTGGAGCATATCTATGGAATGGGGGAGGGGTGGACAAGGGGACAATTAGGCCCCAACTTGAGCTAAAGGTAGGACTATACAGTATTACCATCACTTAGCTTTCACCTGACAGCTCTTATGAGTAAGGAGGAGGTAGTGGTTGCTGGGGGAAAAGGGAAGAAAAGGGTTACAGTTATTCTTCTAAGCAAGATAAGTGATGCTTCAATGGAATATGTTTTATTGGCATGTTTAAAAACGCAAGAATAAAATGGATAATTATATCAAGAAAGAATGAAAATGCAAATTGTAAAAGATGAAATAACAGTTACCTTTTGCTCTGTGGTCTTCTTCTTTTGGGCATTTACCGCCATCCCACCATTTCCGCTTTAGGTCTTCCAGACAGTTGTTTTCCTGTAGCTGCAAGATTGCTAGATCAAATTCATCACGGAAAGCAGAGCCTGTAGTAAACACAAACATGTGGATTGAGGTGTATGCCAAAACTTTTCAAGAGTAAGGGAGTTATTGAGTTATTGTTTAACTGTCTGTGTTCTGCTAGGGAGATTTCCCTTTATCTTCTGTCTTGGAAACACAACAGAAAGAGAGAAGAAATCTCCCTAGTGTAAGTAAAATTTCGAATTTGTACAACTGCTACCAACTGGAAGATTTTAGGTCACCTCTTGTTTTCTTGAAACTATACAATGTAGAATTACCCTTACTTTCTGTCTCATTGCAATGGTCACTCAAACAGAGAGGTGAATCTCCTCAGTGGGGGCCCAAACAGCCATACAAATTGGTAGGGGGTCTAATGGTGCCTCACTCCATCCAAATTTCAGCTCTGCTTTAACATACACTTTCATGTACTCATTATTAAATATAATTCGTTTTGTGATATGTATCCTTGCAGTGAGCTATTTTCAATGCACAACAGAAAGCTAAAAGAGAAAGACAATTTACTTGTTTTGGCATTAGAAGTGCATTATTTTCTGAGAGGGCTAAGATGACCTTGGAAAATCAAAGATTACCAGCTGCTGATCTATACTTATAAACTGTCATAATTAGCCCATTGACACTGCTACACTGGAATATTGACAACAGGCAAACTCACAAATTAAAAAACGCTCATCAAGGCCACGCTTCATCAGTCCGTCCTGCCTATGCACAGCAGCGCAATCCAAGTGTCCTTAGCCACCAAACAGTCTTGCAGTTTTTTAAATTAGCACAAGAAATGCATGAAATGAAACATAGACTAAGAAGAAAGTACATGGATCTGGTACAGCATAAAAAAAATCCCATTCTATACAAAACCAAAGGGATATATTGCCTCAAATTTAAAATGCAGAGAGGATGCTTTGTACACAGCCTGGGTGCACACCCACATCTTGTCCTCATTCACTTCTTCATTTTACTGTCTTAATTAATTACATTATGGGGGTTTCATTATTATTTGTATTGTTTAGTGTAGTCTTGTCTGATACTGTATCATATATACAGTTGCAAGAAAAAGTATGTGAACCCCTTGGGATTACGTGGAGTTTTGAATCAATTGGGCATAAAATGTGCTCTGAAAGTCATCTAAGTCACAATAGAAGAACACAGTCTGCTGAACATAATACTACACAAACATTAGATGTTGCCTTGGTTTAATTGCACATAACATGTAAACATTCACAGTGCAGGGAGGAAAAAGTATGTGAGGCCCTAGCTTAATGACTTCTCCCAGAGCTAATTGGAGCCAGGAGTGAGCCAACCTTGACTCCAATCAGTGTGATGATATTGGATGTGTTGCTGACAGCTGTCCTGCCCTAAAAAAACACACACACTGTTTTGGGTTTACTGTTTTCAAGAAGCACTGTCTGATGTGAACCATGCGTAGCAGAAAAGAGCTCTCAGAAGACCTACGATCAAGAATTGTTGACTTGCATGAAGCTGGAAATGGTTACAAAAGTATCTCCAAAAGCCTTGATGTTCATGTGTCCACGGTAAGACAGACTGTCTACAAATGGAGAAAGTTTAGCACTGTTGCTACTCTCCCTAGGTGTGGTCGTCCTGTAAAAATGACTGCAAGAGCACAGCGCAGAATGCTGCATGAGGTAAAGAAGAATCCCAGAGCGTCAGCTAAAGACCTACAGAAATCTCTGGCACATGCTAACATTTATGTTGACACAACTACAATAAGTTAAACATTAAACAAGAATGAAGTACATGGGAGGACACCACGGAGGAAGCCATTGCTGTCCAAAAAGAATATTGCAGCACGTTTGAATTTTGCAAAAGAGCACCTGGATGTTCCTACAGCACTACTGGCAAAATATACTGTGGACAGATGAAACCAAGATTGAGTTGTTTGGGAAGAACACACAACACTATGTGTGGAGAAAAAAAAAGGCGCAGCACACCAACATCAAAACCTCATCCCCACTGTAAAACATGGCGGAGGGAGCACCATGGTTTGGGGCTGCTTTGCTGCCTCAGGGCCTGGACAGATTGTTGTCATTGATGGGAAAATGAATTCCAGAGTTTATCAAGACATTTTGCAAAAAAAACATACGACCATCTGTCCGCCAACTGAAGCTCCGCAGAGGATGGGTGATGCAACAGGACAATGACCCAAAGCATACAAGTAATTCAACAAAACAATGGCTGCAACAGCACAGAATTCACCTTCTGGAGTGGCCCAGTCAGAGTCCTGACCTCAACCCGATTGAAATGCTGTGGCATGACCTTAAGAGAGCGATTCCCACCAGACATCCCAAGAATATTGCTACACTGAAACAGTTTTGTGAAGAGGAGTGGTCCAAAATTACTCCAGATCGTTGTGCAGGTCTGATCTGCAACTACAGGAAATGTTTGGTTGAGGTTATTGCTGCCAAAGGAGGGTCAACCAGTTATTAAGTCCAAAGGTTCACATACTTTTTCCTCCCTGCACTGTGAATGTTTACATGTTATGTGCAATTAAACCATGGCAACATCTAATGTTTGTGTAGTATTATGTTCATCAGACTGTGTTCTTCTATTGTTGTGACTTAGATGACGTTCAGAGCACATTTTATGCCCAATTCATGCAAAACTCCACGTAATTCCAAGGGGTTCACATACTTTTTCTTGCAACTGTAGATACATAACTCATCTATAACTCATATGAGAAGGGGGGAAGGGAGCAAGAACTAGGCAGACTTTTAAGGGACACAAGGATTACACATTTCTTGAATGAAAGTACAGATATTTTTTAAAAACTAATAATTTTTATAAATTTTTCAACAAAAAAGACTACAGGGCATTCACATAACAGAAATGCAAAAATCTCCAATACACAGACATATGAGTAAAGGTACAATAAATGAAACAATCCTAACCGTTCTGAGATAAGCAGCTACCAACCAATGGTCACTGTACCAAATGCAAAAAAAAAGTAAGGGAGTACACGGGTGTAAAAGTAGGAGAGAGAAGAGAGGGGAAGGAAGGGAAAAAGGATGAAAAGACTTCACCTACTACGGAGCCCAGCCAAGACCAAAAGACCCCCCACTTCCATCCCACAGCGACCTGAAATATGTCAGGTAAGGGGAGTTTTCAAAAGGTCCCGCAGTTCCCAAAACCCAGTTATGTGTAAAAAATAGTTTAGGGAAGCTGTCAATTACTCCATCCAGTACAAATCTTTTTTATTGTTCACCATATCATAAAAATATAATTATTAAAAGTTACAGACATAGAAAGAGCCTCCTTCACATGTCACGATCTTATGTATATCTAGGAGGGAGGCTCTGTATATGACTGTCATTTTTATAATTTTATGATATGGTGAACAATAAAAATCTTTGTACTTTTTTTCAACAAATTGTAATTCTAGTTCTGGCTCCCTTTTTTGCATGAGTCATCACTGTTAAATATGCATACATATTTATCGTAATGTAGTAATATACCTGAATAATTGTATCACTATCATTTTCTGGTGTTTAGGTTACTAATATGTGCTCCCACCCAGAGCTCAAGAGGTTGCCCCTTCTAAGTGTTCGCTGGTCCCTATAAAAAGACCTGTATGCCATACACCTTTCAGGCTTGAAGAAGGCGAACCCGTCCCTGAAAATAGTTGCCTAGCAACCACCAATACAGGAAGTGTGCCAAAACAGTGCCAGATTCCAATTGTAGCTACAGTGAAGCTCTGGTGTGGAATACACAGACAAGACGTTGGTATGAACCTTTCTTCTACCATGGTCCTACTGAAATAAGGAGGTGGAGAATGGATCTCTGTGCAGAGCTGCTATTCCTGGTTACTGCATTCTCCCCTTCACCCAGGCTGTGCACAAAGAGCCCCATCTACATTTTAAATGACAGTGCAATACATCCCTGGGTTTTATATGGAATACAGTGTGTTCTATGCTGACCCAAATCAGTGTTCTTTCTTTCTTGTTTTATGTTTATAAATCACAAAATAACTTCATTAAACAAGCTGCCAAAACTCTGTGCCCTTTTTTTTTATTTAAAATCATTTGTTTTTATTACCAGTATTACAAAATAAATTATTTTAAATCTGAAATGGTAATTTTTTTGGAGGTTTTCCTAAATAGATTTAACTTTTTGAGTTTAAATGGGCTAACTGCAACAATTTATAAGGTTTTGTTATTCATTTTGAGCTCCATTTACTTGGTATATTACATTTAGTAAGCACTACATACAGTAGCAGAGGAAGACTTGAGTTGGACTAATAATTTCAGTTTCTTAGCTACTGATCTATGCCAAAAATCTAATCTCCTCCATAGTGTACATCTCAGATAAGGAAAAAAAAGTTGTAAAAGGAAAATACAAGTAGAGATGCTGTATATCTTGCTTACTAGAACATTGCCAGTCAAAGACTGGCCAGAGATCATGCAGTGGGTTAATCGAAAAAAAAAAAACACAAATGGATTCCCCTATCTATACAAGCAAGGTGGATGGAGGAATCCTCCAGAATACACTGATTAGAATTCAATGATCAGCCGCTGATCTAGAAAAATGTTTTAACAAGCTCGTTTGACAGAAGTCAATTGTTGAGCAGCAGCAGCCACACATGGATCAAAATTCGGCCACTCCCTGCTGAACCAGCTTAAACCTCTGTACTAGAGATATGCACAAAAAAAGGGTTTAGTTTCATATTCATTTGTTAAGTCAATCATTTTGTTTTGTCATATTCATTATGTTAGAATGATTTGTCTTCAGAATTTGTTTTCGTATATCTGGATTTGTTTAGTAAATTCAATGTTCTGAATCAATTCTTATTTTCAGAAGTTATTTTGGAAGATTCAGATTCATTTGTTATGTCATTGCAACTTGCTTGTGACTTTGATGTGACTTGCTGTTTTGATGCGACTTACTTTGATGTTTTGTTTGACTTTGATGTTTTGCTTGACTTTGGATTTGGCCAATCATACCAATACAGAGTGTGACAATATTATAGAACTTACAACACCCTCTGAAGTCACAAACAAATGAATATGGAATGACTTAGTCTACATTATAATTTATTTGGGATTAGTTGAAATTCATTATGATTGCGATTTGAAGATTCGGATACATTCAAATCTCTGAATAATGAACATTTTGTCAGAATTTCGATTTGTAAGGAAACAAATCCCACATGTCTACTATGTACAAACTAATCCATATAACCATTGTACCTTGCATTAATGTCTTGTAGCAAAAGGTTTCTCTTTACCATCTCAGAAAGCTGGGAAATATACTTAAACTCATGGCTGCACATACCTAGAGGCATTCCAATGCCATAGCCCTTTGTGTCAAGCAGACCTCCAACCTGAGTGAGGTTACAGTTGCGTTGACGATAGTACTCATTCATAGTGGACTCCAGAAGGAAAGCATAGTTTGAGTTCAGCACTCTGGCAATCCCTTCTTCAGTGCTCTTGACAAACACACTGGGCTGTTTTGAATGCATGTAATTCCACATCCGTTGATAGGTCTGGTATCTAGAATTCTAATAATTAACAACACAGCATTATCACATTATGATATTATTAGTTACTGAACAACTGTAACAATATAAGCTTGTGCTTTGAAATTTAGCTTGCATAAATGTTTAATGGAATTCTTGAATTTTCTGTTTTCTATTATAAAGAATAGTAAACTTAATATAATATATCCAACAGCCTTGAATCTCTGAAACATCCCGCAAAATCTGCTTACCTGTGTTTATTCTCTCTAATATACTGTGAATGTACTACAGTGTATGCAACAGAATTCAAGCAGATGGAGAAGCGTAGTTGTGTTCTTGTTTTATATTATATGTTACATGTACACATTACTGGATTGAGCTCCATGGTCCTTGATTATCAATGAATGGACACTTTTCTAGCCCATGTGACACAACCAGAGTGATTGCTAATGAAATACAAAATACAACTCACTGGTGCGAGAAATGCTCTGTAAAGATACTGCATGTAAAGTATTATTTATTGGCTATATAAAGTTGGCAATCACTGGTGAAATTACATATTATATTACTTTTAAGTGAAAAGCTGTCTCTGCAGAAAACAAAGACAAACATGGCATAATTCTGCAAATGGGATGCACAGTTATATATTGGCTGAAATTAACAGACTGGGGAACATATAAAATGTTGCTTTGCAGGAAAATGCAGTCTGACATTAATAAGCTGTAATATTTCACCTAGTAATAAATAAAAAGTGAACAGCTACAGCAGTGCATCATCAATATAGCTGGGTTACCTTTATGGTATTAGAGGTAATATTTAATATTTCCCTTTAGGTGCACTATGATGGCAATGTTGTAGGTGCAGGTCTGTTTAAAGCTGACGTTTAGTTAAAAAACGTGTGTTTCTCTACAGCTTTAATAACTTTACTTCCCGGTATTGAAGTATTTCCTAGAATGTGCAGGCTGCTGGATTCTGTAGAGATCTTCACTGCAGAGCTGCCCTGTCCTCTTCCTCCTGCTAAATTTCCAACACTGTGGAGTTGATAACTCCAGGTCCCGGGGCTCAGCTGATCTGATGGGGGTCCCTTCCTGCCCTCTCCTCCACTGAGAAAAGTTCTTTCTATGATCACAGGCTAGGCTCACACATATTTGGGTCGGGAAACACATGCTAATCGCACACACATTCCCCAACCCGCAGGCAAGACACAACGCTCTTTAGCAATCTGTGCTTCTATTAATCCTTAATGGCATCCCCATGCATTGAAAAACAATGTAACATGTTTTTGGATGCGCAAAACTGTATGGTGCAGCCACACCATGTTGTTGCAAAGAGGAGTGTAGAAACTCCAGTGGGAGAAGCAGAGACCGGATCTATCTTAAGAGATCTGAAAAATAGCTAATTTGCATTACATTTAAATTAGCATGTTATAAAGTAGTGTAAAGAAGGCTTGGTCAAGCAAGCAATTAAAAGTCTTCTATGTAGCTGACCTATCTTTGTATACTGTATAGCTGTTTGGTACAATGGGTATAATTACTTGGAAGAAAGTCATGCTGGATCCTCCATGTATGGTACCATACTCAATAGTAGTCTGATCAGCCAAGTCATCCACTGACTCAATGGGTACATCCATTCTCTGTACAGTAAGAAAGGCAGCAAGATTTGCTGTATATGAAGAAATAATTATCAGGGTGAACGCCCACCTGTTAAAACAAACACACAATCTTTGATTATATAATGGCTTGGCATTACTTTTAACATCCCAGCATTAACATGACACTTGATGTTTACACAGCTAAAGGTACCAGGTGGAGGAAGCTCTCTTGCGTCAACCAGTGTATATATATATATATATTCCAATTTTATTTCCTTGAGTTAAAACTGTGTGTTTCCTGGCATATTGATTTTCCAGAAAATGTACTAGGGTGGTAGAATGTCCCTTTGTTTATGGTTATATTAAAATGCACCCATGGGCCAAATATATTTATCAAACCACCATTACATCGCTACAGGAATATCATTTCTGCATTTCTGTAGAGGGGAAGCTTAAAAACTTGGAGCATTCTGTTGCTCAAACAGCTACAAGCTTCTGAGGTTGTGGGCTCTAGTTCACCCCCTGCCATGGTCCACTACTGGTTAATAGAGGCCAATCATCACAGTGATGGGTTTGTAGCGTAGCTTGGTCTCTGGGGGACTCTGTTATGCAACGCAAGTGATAGTTGCATAAATTTATCATAGCGGCAAGCTTTGGTGGAATGTTTGTTGGAACCCCTCATGTTAGGTGCATGCAATTTTTGTATTACAAAAAATACATGGCCATAATGGCCATTTGGACCTGACAACAAAGAAGAATAAATTTTGACATGCAGTTCCCCTCCAGTGCATGATATCTTATCTTGGAATTGTACAGTTTTCTATATATTAAACACAGCACCCTGTAAAACTATATTGTTTACATTTTTTTTGTAAAAATGGTCAAAACTGGGCAGTAAGAAAGGTCATACAACAAACCTGGCACTTGCTAACCAGAGATTCTATTGTCAGCAAGTATATTAAGGAGTATCCAGAGATCTCCTACAGAAAAAACAAGTCCTTAAAGGATCAATTGGTCCATATTCATTTTAAGGAAACACCTGATATACAGGGACAAAGGAAAGACACATTTAGGTGAGGTACCTGTGAATATTGTGAATGGATTTTGGAAGGGAGCTCTACCATGCTACCAAATTGAATGACACATATGGCTAGACACCATGGAGGGGATTTACTAAAGCTAGAACATTTGGGATCTGGTGAAGCTGTGCATGGTAGCCAATCAGCTTCTAACTTCAGCTTGATCAGTTCAGCTTTGACAATAAAATCTGGAAGCTGATTGGTTTCTATGCAGAGCTGCAACCGATTCTGCACTCTCCAGTTTTAGTAAATCCCCCCCTATGTGTACTGCCAGACGAAGGGGGTGGTCTGTATCATGTTTTGCAAATGTGGGGCCTTCTACATAGGATTTATATTCCTAGGGTTACCTCCCCCTGGGTTTAAATGAAGCATTCAGTGTCAAACTATTTTTGTAATGGAATATTTTTTTATGCCCCCCTGGTCTGACAGATAAATATATAATCATCTGGCTCGCCTTGATCAATTTGATCTATCATGTATGGGGTGATAAGTATTCAGCTTTATATATGTAAATATTCAGCAGTATAATAGTCATTGACTGTTCTTACAGATTGCAAATGGAAATGCGGTGTTTTGATGTGTCGGCTTCCTTATGTGGTGGTTTGAGCCCTGTGTGACAAATGTTTGGTGTAGAATGGTGCAGTAGGGTGTTTTTTATTACATGAATGAGTTTATTATTTTGGTTCCTGTTTATTATTATTTTGGTGCTTGTGTCTATGACCAGGGTTTTCATCTGGGCTGCCAGTGGATGGCAGATGTCTAGCACGGCGTTTATAGATATTCTCTTACTATCTTTTTGGTGTTGTGGCTGGAGCTGGCTGATATGAGATACAAGCTCTAGTGATGTGTTATCTGTGGGCATTGCGGTGGCTGTGGATTGGGCTGACATTTTGCGCGCCTGGTGGGCGGACCGGGGGCAGTGCTTAAGCCGGCTGGCCAGTCTGGCCCCTCACCTGTGGTACTGCAGAGAATGCGCATGTGTGGCCTGGGTCGGCAGCTTCTACAATGCTGCAGGATATAACTAGTAGAGGATCAGGCATGGCGCTGGCATGTGACATCAATGGATGTAGCCTGGCATTCCTTTCTGTAAAGGCACCATTTGGGGAATTTAAGCTACTCTATCTCTGCTTTATTTGCTGTGGCGTGCACTGTGGTCAGATGTAGCGATTATGAGATAAGTTGAAATGATATGGTGACTTGATGTAGAATGGCGATTATGAGTTAGGTTACATCTGACATCTTTGTCACTGTTTAATTATTTAAAGGTACTGGTAGATTACCATCTGATGTGTTATCTAGCGGATATTGTTTACTTGCTGAGTGGAAATCGGGATGGCAGTATAATAGTCATTGTGCTGAACATATTATCAAACTTCAGTACAGCATTTGGGCTGTATACAGGTATGTGGAGCAATTGTTTGATATGTTGTATTATATGAAGCTTGATAAGCAGCCAATAAAATACCCTGTATTGATTTATTTTAGAATGGATTGGATCTTTGGAAGAACCTAGTCTGTATATGAATATGCATTATAAGTAACAGGTAATGTATTGAGGTTTTTGCTCATATGTATTCATATTTATAGGTTGGTTCCTCTATGATCCCAGTTGTGGCTATCCTTATGTCGGGGGAGATGTCTCATCATCACTGTTTGAACGCATGGTTGGCCACATCTATGAGGAGCTGCCTTATTACTAGTGTGAACCCATAATTAGCTACATCTTCAAAGTCATTTGATTTGAATGGAATGTAAATAAAAACCTATTAGTTATCATAACACCAGTCTGTGGATATATCCAGTTATAATTACTATATAGATCGGTATAATGTAAATGTTTTGAGAATACCTTTTTTGTCTGTATAGTTATAACTAGCACCAAATAGCCATACTTAGGCAAAGTTGGTGTTGTTGGTTGCCTACGCCCGCTCTTTTTGAAGCAATATGTGAGTAGTCAGGAAATTACAAGAGAGAAAAAATATGTTTGCTTCTTTATTTGGCATATTGTGCATATGCTTTAATACATGTTTTGCATTGTAAATTGTTATATTTTTTTTAGAGAAACCTCTCACTCGGAAGCTATATATTTATGAGTGATCTATATGTGGTTGTGGCATATGCTTTCACCATTTTGTACCAAAAGGGATGTCTAATTTCCCCAGCATAGGTTTTAACATAGCTTTTTTAAATCAATAAACATATGTCTAATTGTTTTAAATGTGTATACGTCCTTCTTGGTACCAGTAAAGTCCATTTTCTTTCTCCTCGGCTTTTTTCAGTAATGTTTTATTTTTTCTCCCACTGAGGGACACAGGAATTAGGGTTATATCATCATCTACATGATAAATGGAAACACAATCTGCTCTCTCCTGACCACCACTCAGCATAGATGCAGCACCATCCAGCTGCTGCTCCTACTTTGCAAAGCATCATGAGGAGAACCACTCTGTTCCTACTGTGGCCTACAGTGACCTGGTCATTACCTGCTCTCTGACCCTTATCAGCACGAGCTGCCAAATCTGTTGAAAAGCACAGATCTAGGGGGTGCTGTGGTGGCCAGCACTTCCCCACAGATTGTGGTCGCACCTCCCCAGGTCTCTGTCAACGAAACGAATCTACTGAGCCATGACCCAGACCCTGTTCCCCAGCGCAGGCCCTCCCAATCACTCTTCTCTGAATTGGTTGGTTGCTGGGACCGCCGATGTCTTAACAACCAATGACGTCACATATTAAACCATGTTAAACTTGTTAAAGCATATTAGACTACTAGACGGATAGAAGGTGTGCTTACCTTTAAGTAGTCTGCTGACCAGTACTTGATATACCTCCTTAAATCCCAGTTTATTCTGGCAGGTTCTCCCCTAGAACCTTGCCTAATTGAACATGTGGAACAAATGCCTGGAGTCTTATGCTTCAGTTGTGATAGCTTATTAAAAGCATCTAAGCTTATGTCCTGTATGGGTTTTTTGATGTCCACACAGATGTGCAGTCCATTCTGGTTGCACTGCTGGGGGCTGATTCCAAATCAAAAGATCAAATTACTCACTTGGATTTCGAGGGGCAATATCCCTTTGGCACTTGATATTGTGTTATGGATCCCAGGGGAGGTCAGAGTAAACTAATGCCTCAAAAAAAAAGATCTAGAGAGAAGTCAGAGCAATCCCATCATTCTACTTCCGCAGTAGGTGCCCAAAGGCCCTACTACCTGCTTCTCAGGCAGCCCATAGTAATCAAAGTCACAGACTAGCTAAGCCCTCTAAAAAGCCTTCAGCATGAAGTTGTACCCCCACTTCTTAGGGGGGCTGATTGTGACTCCTGGTGGGTTTTTGAGTAGTTCACCTCTCCAATATTCATATGCAGAGTGCCTCTTAAACTCACAGGCTAATCCCTTGCCTCTGGTTGCCTGAGCTACTGCACAAACCAGGCATACCTGCTGTGTCTTGGAGCATTGTCTCTTGTATTCAGCCTATTGCCTTTTCTTGGCATCTCCATTGGGTGATGCTCAGATAACCTGCTGTAAGGAAAGTCAATTTTATGGATCCTTACAGTAAGCACTTTCCCAAAGGTCCTAACACCTTCAAAATCTGGGCCGATTAGGCATCGCTGGGTTCCAGTGTTGGTAACTACCTGTCACCCTCACTAAAATATTCCAAAGTTTGTATACCCTAAAATCTTCAATCTCTGGGTCTACCACCAGGTTCTTCAGACCAGGTAGTCCCTTTCAGGTTGGGCTGTCAGGCCTTTGCCACCAGGAGGTGGGAATACTTCCTGCGACAAGGGAGGTAGTTTGGTCTCATTCTTCTCAACTGTTAGCTCTGTACCAAGAGGAGAGGTTTATGCACCTAGATGTGCTACAGATCCTGTGAAAAATTCAGAGATAATTGCTGTAGGGCCCTTTGCCTCTCTGGATTGCCATCACCCTAGTTTCCTGCTGCAGGTACCCATTGCTGGGAATAGAGTATGTCTGGATGACTTTTTTTGATACTTCGGCTCACACTAAGGTACAACTTTTTAGGGTGTGTGATGTGGATATTCCAGAAGGCTTTGGGCAGCCGATTACTAGGGGAGAAATTAGGCAGTGGATGACTGCACTATTATCGTAGTAAAAAAAAGTATTTACTTAAAAAAGCATGTAAATTATCTGTAACTGCTTAAAAGGGAGAGGTTAGGAAGAGGATGAGAGGAAGTACATTTTTTGGTAAAGGATCAACTTATTGAAACCTACAGACATAAATATATTGAAAACAACTTTTAAATTGCATAAACAAGTTACAGACTATATAGCATTTTATCGATAGGGTTTATGTCAGGTGACAGTGAAACAGTTTAGATGTGCTAAGTATCCTGATAGTTCAGTGATAGCCCACACCACGAGCAGGACTGTAAGCAATGCTGTAAGCAGTGCAGCTGCTTGCTGGTGTTTGTGGTACACCACTGCAGATGTAAGTAGAGCAGCACTGAGACTACTATGCAGCAGGAGCAGGTCAGAGCAGGCCAAGTAGCAATAGCAGAGAGAAGAGAACAAGAAAGCGCTTATCACTGTGTGTCAGCCAGCTATGCCAGCCAGAAGCTGCAGGGAGAGCTCAGGGTGTGATGCCAAGATGGCCACTGCTCTTCTAAGAAGGTGCTTTAAGCATGGACAGCAAGGAGCTGGCCAATCACCGTCATTTCCAGGTAAGAGCTTTTTCAGGTGAATTTTCCTCAGGCATAAGAGGATAGCCCGAATCCTGATACTGGCAGTTTACAAATACATGTATCATGGGTTCAGGCAGCTAAAATGTGAGGGGAAGGTTTAGTGCCAGAAAGAATAACTTTCTGCAATACCTTCTTATTTTAACTAGAATTTGATATGGAACTGTCCATGCCAAGAAATTACAAATCTTAGCTGTCTTTTGCCCTGTGACTTTTAATACTAATACAGAAGATACGTTTTAAGAATGGCTGTTTAGAGGAGAAACAATTTATACAGAAATCCGCAGTACTTGATTTTGAAAGCACGGTGTATACAGTATATTGTTAGTTGCTAGATGGATTACTTTGCATCAGGACTGCAGAATGTCAGTCACTACACTCACTCAGGACAAGCAAGTAAAAAAAAAATCATTGTGCACTATATTTTATGCCAAAAATGAACAGACCAGTAAATTAAATAGGATTTATTATTTTCGAACTGTTATTTTGAGATTAATTTATGAAACTGAACTGCCCACATCATTGGATACTCCCACACTTCTGATTAATAGTAAAACTATCTATCACATTCCACATAGATTTTCCCTATTATATTTGTACTGATTTGTTGTCAGGAAACATTATACATTTTATTTTTAATGACACAATCCTAAATTAGTGTAGCGAAACAATGTAATGTGAATAATAAAATTTATATAAATAAATTCCATAAAATGGTGAACAAACTCCAAAACAATACTGTGCAATTCTTGACACTATATCTTCAATGTTCATCAAGTGCCAAGCATGCCTTCACCTAATAGTTGAAAAACCTGTTCACCTTGTAAAAGATCAAATAATGCTCATCAATACCTCAAAGATATCTGCCGGCTACATTTTTTAGATAACCCCCTTCACGGTCCTCCTTTAGTTCAAGGGTTTATATACTCTTTGAAAACAAGTATGCTCATATGCCATGAGACACGGATCCCATAAAACAAAAAGGCAAAACCACAGTGCTCTACGTTTTATAAAATGTATTAGACACCCAAAGATTAAAAACACTTACAAAAATAGTGTGCAGTAAAGCTTTATGATACTGTGACAATCCCAGCTTACTACATTACATTCTAAGATGGTACTGGACAGATGGTACGATGTCATGGCTCGGGCTTGGCTTCTCCCTCATATGCGCGTTGTGCCCTGTAATATGGCTTCTTCAGTAGGTCCTACTGAAGTTTGTTTTATGGGATCTGTGTCTAGTGTCATATGTGTAGACTTATTTTTGAAGATTATATAAACCCTGGACCTAAAAGAGGTTTGTGAAGGGGGTTATCTAAAGCAGTCTTTTTTGACCAGGGTGCTCAGGCACCCTGGTGTGCATTCAGGTATCTTCGGGGCTGCCTTGGCAAAATGCCCAAAAATTGTATAGAACCCAGCAAGTGGATCAAGCCTGCCTTTTAGTTACACAAAGCCACAGGTTTTCATTGTGCACCATTAGAACTTTCTAATCACCGCCGACATAAAAAAAACAATTATGTCATCAGTTGATAAAAAGGACATTGGGTCTCTGCACAGCATCCTTCCTTGCCCCTCCCCAACCCCTCTCCATCAGCACTGGGGTCACATTAGCAGAGTGACAGACAAAAACTGAGGGAGAAGAGAAACAATGGAATACTAGTGAGTACCAGTGTGCAAAGGTGTATTTGCTTTGGAAGAATAAATCACCTCTGATGTTGGGTATCCCACATGTGCAGATGTTGCTGCATTCTGCAAAACTATTAGTTTAGTTTTCACATTTTGTAATGGGTACCTCAAGATTGTGCAGAATTTTAAAGGGTGCATCAAGATTGTGCAGAATTTAAAGGGTACCTTGACTGAAAAAAGGTTGAGAGACACTGATCTAAAAAGTATAACCAGCAGATATCTTTGGGATTTTGATGATCATTATTTGATTTTTTAGGAGGTGAGCAAGTTTTTCACCTATTGGGTGGAGGCACGCATGGCACTTGATGAAAATTGAAGATATAGTGTCACGAATTTCAGAGTGGTGTTTTGGAGTTTGTTCACCATTTTATGGACTTTATTTATATGTTTTTTATTATCCATATTATATTGTTGCGCTACACTAATTTTGGATTATTTGATTAATTGAGGAGGTGTTGTGGAATCACCTGCACAGTGTTTGAGTGAGCAACAAGTTCTTCAGTAATATAGTTTATTTGTTCATTTCATTCATTATTTTAGAGGTTGTGCTGATTGAATCTAGATATAATTTTCAATGACATGACTGTGCCAACTATTCAAATACACAGAATTCAGTGTTCTGTCAGCAACATTAAGATTTTAAGCAACAGTCTATACCTATTAACAGAAACATCTAAACTATTATGGACATCAGGAAAATGCAGATACCTATGATTCAGACTTTTGGACAGCTACTGTGCACTATAGAAAACTTTTGCTGGCTTCTTTTTGGATAAGTTGGTGGCGAATGGCAAAACATACTCTGTGGTTCCAATCAGAGTAGCAATTGTGCTGTTTGTTGTTAATCTATATTTATAGGTCAGTTACAGCCTAACACAAAAATAATTTAGAACACAACTTTTAATATGTACCGTACTGTTTATTGTCTTTACTAAAATGTGCCTGCAGAATAGCTATGCTGCAGTATGGGGGAGCAGGTACTGGAACACTTTTAGCGGCTGTTCGTATGTTACTTTAGAATTTTACCTAATTTTGTCATTATGTGAAAATTGATATCAGTACACAGAGACATTCAACGTTGAAACATTAGCTGAAGATTGTTTCTTTTCTTACCATACTCCACTAACACATCGCGTAGACAAAGCTCTTGGCGCAATGGTAGATCCCTGCTGCATAAAACCACCAACTGGAAACCACAGACTGTTACCAAGAGAGTACTGATTAATTAGAAGATTGCACCGTCCTTGAACACATGGGTGGGGACTGTACCATTCATATGGAGTTAACCTAAAGCAAGGAAACAAAATAAAACGTAATTGGCTTATAGTGTGTTTGAATGTTGTATAATTTATGCATTGTGGAACATCAAGTTTTAAAGTGGTTATAAACCCTTACCTATACCCAGTAAATGTGAGTAGCCTCAGGTGATATACAAAGATGGAACAGACCCTCCTACATATGTTGTACATGTTTATCTGCAGCCATTTGTTCTGTACATCCTGGTAAAACTCAAAGATAAAGGGATTTTTCACAGACTCAGGGGGGAGTTGGGGGCTGCAGTTACACACTGTAAAAGAGCTCTGAGAGCTGACTGGAGGGAAGGGCACCTTCCCTTAGCAGACCGGAACAGAGTTGAGGCTGTTAATCACAGGCTGTGTGCTGGGGATCCCTCCCCTGTCACCTTTTTAGCTCTCGGTGTCAGGAAACCTTATTAGAAGTGACTCACGCAGATAACAAAGGAACTATACATCAAATAGAAATGACGCATAGGGGCAGACTATAATAAACCCCCACCTGCAGAACCCCATAACCACAGGGACAGGGTTGTGAGGAAGAGGCCCATGTCCTTATCAACCAGGGACCCCCTGCACTGAACCCTGGCACATTCATCCCATCACTATCCGGGAATATATATTTACATGTTGTGAGGATACTTGAGCTGATGGACCCTCAAGCACCTGACAAACACCTACTCCTTCAAAGTGCATACCACCACCAGTAGCATACATTTGAATATACTGGGCAACTTCAGGAGGAGAAAAGAGATGACTAGAGCAACTTGAGTTTTAGACTCTTTGGGATTTTGGAAATTAATTTGAAGATACAGTATATGCAGATACATAAGGAAGCTTGCTTTTCATTTATATGGTGTCATTTTATGTTGCTTTTTGAAAGAAATTATTTACTTTAAACTGTAAGATGATGATGATGATGATGTGATTTGTTCAAACAGGATGATAATCATAATAATAAGCAAAAATACTAAACACTTACAAAAACACAAATTCATTTTAATAATACTTATATACTATAATTGCAAAACAAAACTAGAAAATGAATGTATCCTTCAGTAGCACTTAGAGATGGGTCAGAATGGGGTAAAAGGTGCTGACTTGTAAACCTCATGATCTATTATGTCAGAAGTCAGAATGCAGCAGGGGAGATTTACTAAAACTGGAAAGAGCACAATCTAGTGCAGCTCTGTATTGAAACCAATCAGCTTCCAGGTTTTATTGCCAAAGCTTAATTGAACAAGCTGAAGTTAGGAGCTGATTGGCTACCATTCACAAGTGCACCAGATTCTGAGTGTGCCAGTTTTAGTAAATCTCCCCCACAGAACTTTGGAGAGAGGCAAGTAAACATTTTGCTGTGTTCAGATTTCATGTCTGAGGTTTACAACCACTTTAAAGTGGTTGTAAACACTAACTTTTTTTGCCTTAATGCATTCTATGTATCAAAGTAAAAGACAGTGCACAGTCTGTTACCCCCCCTCCTCCTCCCTAACACTTACCTGAGACCTTTATCAATCCACCGCTGTGCCTGGCTGTAAGTCTCCTCTCCAGTCTTCCAGCCCCACACTTTGCTGATAGCAGTGGCAGACATTGGCTTCTGCTGCTTTCAATCAAATCCTGTAAGCGGAGATTGCCGAGCCAGGCCTTGTGTATCTATGAATACACATAGGCCAGCTTAGGTGTAAGTTCGCATGTCTGAGCCCATAGCAGGCGGCTTGTTATGGGGCAGACACAGAAAAGGAGCAGCGGAGACAGCAGGAGGGGGACCCAAGGAGATGAGGTTCAGGAACGCTCTGTGCAACCATTGAACAGGGCAGGTAAGTATACCATGTTTACAATCACTTTAAAGAAAAAGTCTCACCTCAGAAGTTTTTACTTGCTCTATACCCCTATGGTACAAAGTGCTTATACCATACAGTTTGTGCTGAAGGAGCGGAGATACGGTGTGGCAGCAGCACCTGTTCTCCACTGATTTCTGAGCACACTGAATTGAAACAAATAGGTAATGAGGGATAGTTAACAGTACTTTTCTCTGTCTCTGTGCACTTGCCTGAGAAAAGCACTGTCGTATTGAATGCAGGGGGAAGGGGTATGTCCAATATTCACTGTACATCACAGGTGCATTCACAGCAGAGCTCTGCCTGTGCTACTCACATATGCCCAGTCTGTAAACATGCAGGGAGAGGCTATGGTGTCAGGATGAGGCTCCGCTTGTCACTGCTTCACACAGAGTGCAAAACAGGGAATTAAAAAATAGGCCCAAAGAGGCACACTTGCTATACAGGGGGTGGTGGCAGATGTGCTCTGTCATGCCAAGCCAGAATACCACCCAAATCTGCCATGATTAGGAGGAGAAGCAGAGAAGTAGCAGATGAAAGGACAACACAAGCAACAATGCCACTCCATACAATGTAAGATCCAAAATAGGCACACAGGTGATATCCAGACATGATATAGGCCATTCATAATCAATAAAAAAAATGAACATTTACAGAACTCTTAGCTTGGAAAGTCAGACCTAGCCTGTCTTGTGACAAGGTAAACTTCGGGACCAAACCTTATAACCTGCCCCTGTTCTTTCTTTTGCTTTTTTGAACCCTAACAGTTTGGGAAAATCTGAAGCCTGTCCCTATTACCTATGAATTTCCTCTCTAAACTCTATATAAGTCAAGTTGATTAGTCATTTTGTGGTTTGGAGTTCCTCAAAATCCTCTGCAGAGGTAAAGTATAAAAACTGCTTAAAGAAAGTGTCATATTGGTCTAGGACAGTGGTGGGCAACCTTTTTTTTCAACTGAGCCAAAACCACGATTGAAATTTATTTTGAGAGCCACATTTTTAAAACTGAAAATACATCTCCCATATAGTAATTCATCCCCCATAGTAATTCATCCCCCATATAGTAATTCATCCCCCATAGTAATTCATCCACCATATAGTAATTCATCCCCCATAGTAATTCATCCCCCATATAGTAATTCATCCCCCATAGTAATTCATCCCCCATATAGTAATTCATCCCCCATAGTAATTCATCCCCCATAGTAATTCATCCCCCATAGTAATTCATCCCCCATATAGTAATTCATCCCCCATAGTAATTCATCCCCCATAGTAATTCATCCCCCATAGTAATTCATCCCCCATATAGTAATTCATCCCCCATAGTAAGTCCCCCCATAGTAATTCATCCCCCATAGTAATTCATCCCCCATATAGTAATTCATCCCCCATAGTAATTCATCCCCCATATAGTAATTCATCCCCCATAGTAATTCATCCCCCATATAGTAATTCATTCCCCATATAGTAATTCATCCCCCATATAGTAAGTCCCCCCCATAGTAATTCATCCCCCATATAGTAATTAATTCCCCATATAGTAATTCATCCCCCATAGTAATTCATCCCCCATATAGTAAGTCCCCCGTGTCAATTCACTTACCTTTGCTCCGCGCGTTCCTCTCGCCGTGTTCCCGCGCCGTTCTGGTCTTCAGGGCGGACTGTGAGAGGAGAGGAGTTCGTCGCGCTGCCCCGCCTACATCCTGGCTGCCCCGCCTACATCCTGACAGCTGCAGAGTCCTGACTTTTGGGGCGGCCGCCCGAGAGGAGGGAGGGGGGCGGCCGCCCGAGAGGAGGGAGGGGAGGGGGCGGCCTCCAGAGAGGAGGGAGGGGAGGGGGCGGCCTCCAGAGAGGAGGGAGGGGAGCGGGCGACCGCCCGAGAGGAGGGAGGGGAGCGGGCGCCCGGCACACAGAAGAGCCGCATTTAAGTTTGTAAAGAGCCGCATGTGGCTCGCGAGCCACGGCTTGCCGACCACTGGTCTAGGAGATACTATGTCTCTGGGACCAATATGACAGTTTCTTTAGTATTTGGGCAATATGAAGATGATATGTTTGATTTTGATTTTCCATTATTTCATTGACTTTAGAGAACTGTACCCCACCATGGGAGCTCTGTTGGTTTTTTATTAACACAGGATGAGGCATTTAGCCCTATTCAAGAGGTGAGGCACTGGAGACTTTTTGTATTGTTAGATGTATAGCACAATGCAAACGTTTTAGGCAGGTGTGCTGTAAAGTAAGCATGTTTTAAAAAATATATATTTTAATAGTTTACTGTTATCAATTTACAAAATGCAAATTGAGCAAACAGAAGAAAAATCTAAACCAAATCAATATTTGGTGTGGCTCAAACCAGCATCAATTCTTATACTTGCACACTTTGTATGCTTGCACAAGTCAGGGATTTTCTAGGATTAGTGTCAGGAGTATGATTAATGAATTATACCAAGCAGGTGCTAATGAACATTCATTTCATATGTAGGTTGAAACACATTTATCACATGAAACAGAAACACCTGTGTAGGAGGCTTAAAACTGGCAGAGGAACAGCCAAACTGCTGCTAAGGTGAGGTTGTGGAAGACCGTCTCATGTCACAGGTTATACACCATAGCAAGCACAGCAACCAGATATGAGATACTGCATCAGCAAAGTTTCTCCCGGGTAAAGATCTCAATGCAGACTGGAGTTTCAAGTGTACTGCTCAAGCTCCTTGAAGAAGCACAAACAAAATGGTCAACATTGAGGACCACAGATGTAGTGGTTGGCCAAAGAAATAACGCAGCACATGTAAGATACACAATGCTCTACTGTGCAGAAAACTCTGGCCAGAAGTGGTCTTCATTAAAGAATTATGGCAAAAGAGCCATATCTCCCATGTGGAAACAAAGTGACTCAACTATGCACGAAAATATAGGAACTGGGGTGAAGAAAAATGGCAGCAGGTGCTCTGCACTGTTAAGTCAAAATTTGAAATATTTGGCTGTAGTAGGAGGCAATTTGTTTACCAAAGAGCTAGAGAGCAGTACAATAGTGAGTGTCTGCTGGCAACAGTGACGGATGGTGGAGGTTCTTTGCAAGTTTGGGGCTGCGTTTCTGCAAATGGAGTTGGAGATTTGGACAGGATCAATGGTGTCCTCAATGCTGAAAAATACAGGTAGATACTTCTCCATCATTCCATACCATCAGGGAGGCATGTGATTTGCAGCAAATGTATTCTGCTGCAGGACAACAACCCCAGGGTGCACTGCTAGCCCAGGTGGATGTTGTAGGACATCCTCCCACTTGCGTGTCTCATGTGCATCCTAAGGGGTGCGCAGCGGTGCAATCTGTGACCTGCTGTGTCCACCAGACACAGCAGAACACAGGTAGTTGTACAGGACCGCTGTGCGTGGCCCTGGTAATATGTGATTTCTGTGACCAATCACAGTGATTGCATGTCAGTTGTAAACAATGGCGTTCATTCATTCATTGTGTACTACTGTGATCTATGTGATTGGTCACTGATTACATAGTGCAGGGCTAATCACAGCAGACCTGTACCATATGATAGCTGTGGCCAATTAGAGCTATCACAATTGTACACCATGGCATATGAACGGATACCATTCAAAATTACAGTGTAAAAATGATTGCTTATACAGTGATTATCACTGCAATAAGCAATCAGTGTAAAAAGAAATCCTGATCACCTCTATGGTGATATTGTACAGCTCTGGTAAAAGTATGTAAAAAAGAACAAAAAGATAAAAAAAAAAATTTAATAAAAATTATACATATACAGTATATATTTGTTTATATACTGTGAACAGTCAGCTTCCCTGATCACCACCACACCAGTCATATGGTGATGCAGTGTTGCAGTCACAGTATGTGAATAAAAAAATGTGAAATAAATTACAACTTCAAAAACCCACCATGACTCTTACTAAGTACCTTGGGGTGTCTACTTTCCAAAAAGAGTTACTTTGGGGGTATTTGTATTGTCCTGGTTTTTTCAAGCGTCAAGAAATGAAATAGCCAGGCAGAGTGCATCAGGACTAATCAAGTTTCAAATATATACTGTACACTATAGATCAGCCTTTCTCACCAGGGTTCCATGAAACCCTAGAATTCCTCCAGAGGTTGCTAGGGGATCCTTGAGCAAGAAGCAATTTCTGCCTCTCATATAAGTTCCCATTGAAACTAATGATTTTTTTTATCTATCTGTTCTTCTTCTTGAGAATTCTACCAATGTACTATGAGCTGTAGATATGGTAAATAAAAGCTGGGTTCCCTCAGAACAGAACATTATTTTAGGGTTCCTCCATGTTAAAAATGCTGAAAAGGGCTGCCATAGATTGTAGAAGCTATAACTTTCATACAGACTAAATAATATACACCTCTTTGTTTTTGGGGGTTTTTCACTAAAGAAATGTAGCCGAATATCCATGATGTTATATGATTGTTAGGCTCATGATTTTATTAGTCACAATTACATATTCACATTATATTTTACTTTGTTGTAGCCCTGATGAGGGAGGAGTTCCTTTGACCCCCGAAATTTATTGGCTGTCTTTTAGCACAATTCCAATAAATAAGTTTGGGCTCTCATCTTTTGTCTGGCTCTCCTTCCATGTATGCAAGCTTTTTTTTTTCTGGTAATCTGCTGGGGTACCCACTGGAAGGTAGCCTTGTCTGTCATTAGCAGCCAAACCTGAGCCAGTGGGCTCTTCAAATGTTTTTTCCCTCTTACCACTATGTATAACCCCAGCGTCTCTTGGATGACTTTTTTTTTCATTTACAGTTTTAACTACTGCCACAGTGGTGAACACACCTAGAAAGGAAGTTGTCTTAGTTGAATCTCAGTGCATGATAATTTCTTAATACAACAACATTGTTTGCAGATAAGTTAGAAGTCATAATGTGTTTTCAGTATAGTACCTAGACAAAGACTAACACCAAAGCAGTAGGTTTTCATAAAACATAATAGTGGGGTTTTCTTTTCAGATAGAAAGAGGGGAAACAAGGGGACACTTTAATTATTTGCATTATGACTCCAGAAATAGTTATGCCAGGGGCGGACTGACCATTTGGAACTAGGGCACTGCTCGAGAATCCGGGGTCAGTAGGGGGCCCCATGAGATGCCCCTGGTACCTTTTTCATAGGCTTTTTTGAGTTTGGGCAAGGACACAGGGGCCCCATGATCCCCTATTGCCCAGGGGCCCCATGAGTTGTCAGTCTGCCCCTGGTTATGCCTCTGACTATTCTCTCAAAATCAAACACACAAAATACAGTCAGAAAGCTAATGGAGGACAGATTTGGCCATTAACAATTCTCCATTTGAACACTGTCAGTACAAGAGATGCTGTGGCAAATTCCAAATGACTATGTCAGAATGTACAAATGTAAGCTGTTCTTTTTTATGTGTCTGTTTCATTGTTATTTTCTACTCCTTTTCTTGTTCCTATTTATTCCCATGTTCATGTTTAAACTGCAGAAAGACTGACTTTCTGTCTTTGTGCTTAACAATTAATTTCAGTCTGAAAAACAGCTGCAGAAAAGTAATAAAAGCTTATGTAGACAGGAACAGCCAAGGTGGTTGGGCAAATTGGTTTGGGCCATAACCACCTAGTTACAGGCATCTGTGACATATACCTCAATAAATGGCAGTGGAAATGTAATAACTTCAAACATTACCTGGCTACTAAGAATAAAACACAGCTGACAGCTAAGTAGCCAAGAAGCATAAACAGCCATACTCCAGGTGAGAATGGATCTAGGAAGGAAAAGTAGCCTGGCTTTCTGCCCTGCAATAAAACACAATTGATTAATTGAGAATATAAAACAATTACACTGTAAATATAAAAGCAAGTTCAATGTTATCAAACAATATGCCATAGCATCCATATTACAAAGTAGTTAAAGGTGATATATAATGGTTTTATACACATGCACACAATATACAGTGCATATATATATATATATATATACAGTTGCAAGAAAAAGTATGTGAACCCCTTGGGATTACATGGAGCTTTGCATGAATTGAGCATAAAATGTGCTTCTGAACACGTCATCTAAGTCACAACAATAGAAGAACACAGTCTGCTGAACATAATACTACACAAACATTAGATGTTGCCATAGTTTAATTGCACATAACATGTAAACATTCACAGTGCAGGGAGGAAAAAGTATGTGAGGCCCTAGCTTAATGACTTCTCCCAGAGCTAATTGGAGCCAGGAGTGTGAGCCAACCTTGACTCCAATCAGTGTGATGATATTGGATGTGTTGCTGACAGCTGTCCTGCCCTTAAAAAACACACACCTGTTTTGGGTTTACTGGTTTCAAGAAGCACTGTCTGATGTGAACCATGCCTCACAGAAAAGAGCTCTCAGAAGACCTAAGATCAAGAATTGTTGACTTGCATGAAGCTGGAAAGGGTTACATAAGTATCTCCAAAAGCCTTGATGTTCATGTGTCCACTAAAAGACAGACTGTCTACAAATGGAGAAAGTTTAGCACTGTTGCTACTCTCCCTAGGCGTGGTCATCCTGTAAAAATGACTGCAAGAGCACAGCGCAGAATGCTGCATGAGGTAAAGAAGAATCCCAGAGTGTCAGCTAAAGACCTACAGAAATCTCTGGCACATGCTAACATTTTTGTTGACACATCTACAATAAGGAACACATTAAACAAGAATGGAGTACATAGGAGGACACCACGGAGGAAGCCATTGCTGTCCAAAAAGATATTGCAGCACGTTTGAAGTTTGCAAAAGAGCACCTGGATGTTCCACAGCACTACTGGCAAAATATACTGTGGACAGATGAAACCAAGATTGAGTTGTTTGGGAAGAACACACAACACTATGTGTGGAGAAAAAAAGGCACAGCACACCAACATCAAAACCTCATCCCCACTGTGAAACATGGCGGAGGGAGCATCATGGTTTGGGGCTGCTTTGCTGCCTCAGGGCTGGATGGATTGTTGTCATTGATGGGAAAATGAATTCCAGAGTTTATCAAGACATTTTGCAGGAAAACGTACGACCATCTGTCCGCCAACTGAAGCTCCGCAGAGGATGGATGATGCAACAGGACAATGACCCAAAGCATACAAGTAATTCAACAAAACAATGGCTGCAACAGCACAGAATACACCTTCTGGAGTGGCCCAGTCAGAGTCCTGACCTCAACCCCATTGAAATGCTGTGGCATGACCTTAAGAGAGCGATTCATACCAGACATCCCAAGAATATTGCTACACTGAAACAGTTTTGTGAAGAGGAGTGGTCCAAAATGACTCCAGATCGTTGTGCAGGTCTGATCTGCAACTACAGGAAAATGTTTGGTTGAGGTTATTGCTGCCAAAGGAGGGTCAACCAGTTATTAAGTCCAAAGGTTCACATACTTTTTCCTCCCTGCACTGTGAATGTTTACATGTTATGTGCAATTAAACCATGGCAACATCTAATGTTTGTGTAGTATTATGTTCAGCAGACTGTGTTCTCTCTATTGTTGTGACTTAGATGACGTTCAGAGCACATTTTATGCCCAATTCATGCAAAACTCCACATAATCCCAAGGGGTTCACATACTTTTTCTTGCAACTGTATATATATATATATATATATATATATATATATATGTATATATATATATTTCAAGACCCTGTGTATATACAGTTGTGTTCAAAATAATAGCAGTCAGACATCACTAACCTGATCAATCACTGTTTTTGGTAGAAATGATATTTCTACATGGCAAATAATTTACTAGCAGGTGTAGTAGAGTAATAGAAATCCAACAGACCCAACAGTCATGACATGCATGCTGCTGATTCTGTGTAATTGAATCACTAATTGAAAGGGGCATGTTCAAAATAATAGCAGTGTGGAGTTCTATTAGTGAGATCATTCATTCTTTGAAAAACAGGTGGCAATTATTGCCCTTATTTAAGGAAGGAAGGAAGGCAGCAAATGTTGTACATGCTGGTTACAGTGCATTTCTCTCTGAAATTCTGAGGAAAATGGGTCATTCCAGACATTGTTCAGAAGAACAGCGTACCTTGATTAAAACATTAATTGGAAAGGGGAAAACATATAAAGAAGTGCAGAAAATGATAGGCTGCTCAGCTAAAATGATCGCAAATGCTTTAAAATGGCAACCAAAACCTGAAAAACGTGGAAGAAAGCGAAAAACTAGCATTTGAATGGATAGAAGAATAGCCAAAATGGCAAGGACTCAGCCAACAATCAGCTCCAGGAAGATCAAAGAAGGTGTAAAGTTACCTGTGAGTACTGTTACAATTAGAAGATGCCTATGTGAAGCCAAGCTATCTGCAAGAAGCCCCCGCAAAGTCCCACTGTTGAAAAAAAGACGTGCTGAAAAGGTTACAATTTGCCAAAGAGCACATTGACTGGCCTAAAGAGAAATGACACAACATTTTGTGGACTGATGAAAGTAAGATTGTTCTTTTTGGTTCCAGTGGCCAGAGACAGTTTGTCAGACGACCCCCAAACACTGAATTCAAGTCACAGTACACTGTGAAGACAGTGAAGCATGGTTGCGCAAGCATCATGATATGGGGATGTTTCTCATACTACGGTGTTGGGCCTATTTATTGCATATCAGGGATCATGGATCAGTTTGAATACATCAGAATACTTGAAGAGGTCATGTTGCCTTATGCTGAAGTGGAAATGCCCTTGAAATGGGTGTTCCAACAAGACAACGACCCCAAACACACCAGTAAACGTGCAACATCTTGGTTCCAGACCAAAAAGATTGACGTTATGGAGTGGCCAGCCCAATCCCCGGATCTTAATCCAATAGAAAACTTGTGGGGTGACATCAAAAATGCAGTTTCTGAGGCAAAACCAAGAAATAGAGAAGAACTGTGGAATGTAGTCCAATCATCCTGGGCTGGAATACCTGTTCACAGGTGCCAGAAGTTGGTTGACTCCATGCAACACAGATGTACAGCAGTTCTCAGAAACAGTGCTTATACAACTAAATATTAATTAAGTGATTCAAAGGAAAGCAAAATCATCAAACATTTTTCAGTTTCTATAGTGAATGTTTTGAGTTTGTAAAGAAGAATACAAACACTGCTATTTTTTTTAACAATCTAATATTCACTTTTCTTCAATTTTTTTAGAGGAACAACACAAGTTTGATATATTTTTCTTCATGTTTTGATTTGGAATAGAATGTGTAGTGTTCCCAATGCATTTGTGTGTATGGAAATAAAAGCTATTAGAAGGATTTTGAGCTTTATTCACTTTTTTCAACACACTGCTATTATTTTGAACACAACTGTATATATATATATATATATATATTTTTTTTTTTTTCCTTCATGTTTATTATTAGTATGGAGTAATAAATAAGTGTTTGATTTTCAAAAAAGCCTCCATATGGAGTTATGTAGTTGAAATAAATTTTGAAGAGAGGAGTTAGAGGACAGGAGGGGGTAAAAGAAGAGGGAGAGGAACTGTGGCTGAACTAATCTTTTATCATAATTTGTTATACTTGAAGGGTAACAAGTTGTATTTGAGTTTAAAACTATCTAGACTGACTGACAAGAGAGGTCAGGAGAGGTCATACTGGGCTTTAATGAGGTCAAGTTCTCTGAAATAATTGCAGGCTCCTGAAGTAGCAATGCAAATATGTCCATGGTTTTAATAAATTGCAGTTTCTGCTTGATCAGATCCATTGTGGGAAAATTAATGTCTGTCCACTTTTCTGAAACAGAGCATATGGCAGCAAGTATGGCTAAGTACACATTGGATAAAGCTCTGAAAGCCTGGAGCTAACAAAAAATAAAATAGTCCTAAAGTGCAGTATTAAAGGAATCAGCTATAAAAAAAACATACAAATTGATGGAAGAGCTGTATCTGCAAAGACAGCTTCTTCATCGGCGATGGGGGGCTACCAGTCCTTGTCTCCTGCTGAACTCTGGATAAACTGATTTTTTTCTGTTAGTCTTGTAAGTGGGATTGTATGTGTATATTAACTACCTGCCGACCGCATATAGCCGAATGACGGCTGCACTGCGGCCGGCCAGTTCTGAGTGGACGTCACAGCTGATCACGTGATGTGGTAAAAGGCCAATCACAGCGGCCTTTTACCACGTGATCAGCGGTGTCCAATGACACGCTGATCAGAGGGAAATGCAAGTGCCGGTTCTCGGCTGCACTTTCCTCACGCTGTCAGATCGTGAGGAAAGTACTGCCGAGAACCGGCAGTTGTCAGAGCGGGGATGATCAGTGCCCTGATGATCGGTGCCCAGCAGTGCCACCCGCAAGTTCCGCCCACCTGTGCCCAGCAGTGCGCCCACTAGCTCCGCCCACTTGTGCCCAGCAGTGCACCCACCTGTGCCCAGCAGTGCACCCACCTGTGCCACTCTGCAGTGTCACACACCTGTGCCCAATAGTGCCACCTACCTGTGCCCACCCACCTGTGCCCAGCAGTGCCACCCACCTGTGCCCACCAGTGCCACCCACCTGTGCCCACCCACCAGTGCTGCCCACCAGTGCCACCCACCAGTGCAGCCCAGCAGTGCTGCCAGTCAGTGCCACCAGTCAGTGCCCAGGGGTTGTGCCAGTCAGTGCCGCCAGTCAGTGCCCAGCAGTGATGCCAGTCAGTGCCGTCTATCAGTACCCATCATCAGTGCCGCCTATCAGTGCTGCATATTAGTGCCGCCTATCCGTGACACCTCATTAGTGCTGTCTATCAGTGCCGCCTATCCGTGCCACCTCATTAATACTGCCTATCAGTGCCCATCAGTGCTGCCTCATCA